GCAACAGTTAGGAGCGTATGGACTAGCAATGAATCCTCTATATTTCCTGAAGGGCAAAATTTGGAAGCTGAAGTAAGCCTATATATGCAATGGGGCAGAGTCAAAATAAAGAAAAAAGAAATGAAAATGATTTGCATAATATTTGGAATTACAGATTTTTTTTGGGAAAAGGAGTATATTGCAAATTACAAAATAGGCAAAAAATACTGTTTATTTTTCTTTGTTGAATTAAAGCAGGGATTGCAAATTCAAGGTTTTGACATCTGGGATTGCACTCTGTGGATCTGGTTATACATTATCTGTGTTAAGTGTGTAAGAATACTAAATTCCTGGGGTTGGCATGATGGTACAGCGAGTAAGCTGCCACCCGCACTGCCGGCATCCCATTTAGGCACTGGTTCTAGTCCCGGATGCTCTACTTCCAATCCAGCTCTCTGCTAATATGTCTGGGAAAGCAGCAGAGGATGGCCCAAGTGCTTGGGCCCCTGCACCAATGTAGGAAACCTGGGGGAAGCTCTTGGCTCCTGGCTTTAGCCTGACCCAGCAATGGCCATTGCAGCCATCTGAGAAGTGAACCAGTGGATGGAAGCCCTCTGTCTCTCTCTATCTCTCCTTCTGTCTGTAACTCTGCCTTTCAAATAAATAAAATAAATCTTTCAAAAACCCCACTAAATTCCTAAGAATGGGCTTTGTTCTCCTGTCTCAAAACGCTCTCTCCCTATTTTGTTGAAATGTACGCTCCTCTTTATTTCATCTTTCTCAATTTTGAAAAGGATGGATATAAAAATGGTATCATCTTCTTCTTAATTCTAAGAAAAGTGTCTACCAATAAACAAATAAACACATTTTGTTTGTTGGAATATGACTCAGCAGTGAAAATAAATGAACCCTAGATTCACAGAACAATGTGTATGAATCTCAGATTACTTACACTGGGTGAAAGTGGTCAGAGCAAAATGGATTATGTATTTATTATTTTATTTATATAAAATTCTGGAAACTGTAAATTAATCTATAGTGATAAAAAACAGATTAGTGATTGCCTGGTGACAAGGTAGTGGGTAGGAAGAACAGGAGGAGGAATGCAAAGGAACACAAGGAATATTTTGGTAATACGCTCATTAACTTACCAAATTTACCTTTTAAGTACGTGCGTTTTATTGTATGCCAGTTATGCCTCAATTAAACTGTTTAAAGAAGACAGATTAAATCTCATGCCAGTGATGTCCGTTATCTGACTCTTGGGATCAAAGATGGTAATCTGGGAATGCTATTACCATTGCACCCACAGGAAGCACCATGAGTCAGGCCTGGAAGTTTAGATTACTTGGAGGTTAGGTCACTGTGGAAGGTTGCTGAGAGTTTTAAGCCAGGAGCTAAAAACTGGGGTGAGCAATTGGCACAGAGGCTAAGTCACCACTTGGGACACCACATCTCATATGAGTACCTGGTTTGAATGCTGACTCCTCCACTTCTAATCCAGCTTCCTGCTAATGTGTGCCATGGGGAAGCAGCAGATGACGGGTTGAATACTTGGGTCCCTGCCAGCCACATGGGGGACTTGGATGGAGTTACAGCTGTCTCCAGCCTGGCCCAGCCAGGGCTGGTGTGGGCATTTGGGGAGTGAACCAGCATGTGGAAGATTCTCTCTCTTGCTCTCTCTCTCTCGTTCTCCATTTCAAATAAATGGAGATAAATAAATAATTAAAAACATATATATGTATATAATTGTGTGTATAACTCTGCTATGTCAGGCACTGTTCTAGGGTCTAGAGATACGGAACTGAAGTAGCTATAAATCCTTCCCTTGAGGAAGTCAAGGTGATGAGTTAGGTAAATGGAATTTCTTGGGTTTGAGGCTATCCAGAAGCATGTGGGGATGTGACAGGGTGAGCTCTGGGTGTGTGAGAGTCAGACCCAGAGAAGGCAGAACCAGGACTTGTGGGCAGCCACAGGCAGTTGACCCTTTTGTTTACACTTAAACATATGGATGGAGACATCCTGGCACAGACAAAAGGCTAAGGAGATTCCAGGAAGAGGCAGGAAGAACCGTATCTCACTACTAGACTTCTTATCTCACTACTAGACTTCTCACAAGAGGTAATGTAGATAATCAGTCACACCTGAAACCTGCATTTATCACCTATGTGTTTTATTATTCCCTTGTAATCTATGATTGATAACATTTTGTGATCTGTTAAGCAGAAGAACCTTATCGGGAACTCTTTGTAACCCCAAAAGTCTTTTGGATATGTACATCTTTTGTGTGCCTTCTTGTATACAGCTGGTCATGTTTAAACACTACTGGATTTGTTGAATAAATGAGCCTTGATCAGGATTTGTCTTGGCTCCATTCTTTGTGTCCTTGTCCCTGCATTCCCACTCTCTGTTTCAGGAAACCCGGTTCATTGTGCTGCAGGCCGGCACAGGGCTGAGCACTGAGGCAGAGCTGTGCTGGTCTGGGGGGTGCCTCTGAGGATCGAGCTCCGGGCCTTTGACATCCAGAATGGCTTGAGCCAGTCAACAAGGCTTGTGGGCAGGAGCCAGCTCCCCGATAGGTGTCCCAAATATGCTGGAACAACATGCCAGAGAATGAAAGGAGGCGTGGATGGAAGTGGTAACGTGAGGAATACTAAAGACACTGGCTGGCCTAGAGTGGAAAGTGGAATGTTCATAGTATGGAGAGAGAAACAAATGTAAGAGAAGGGACTCCAAATAGAATCTCTTAATTTATTTATCTGAAAGGTAGAGTTACAGGGAGAGAGTGAGGGAGAGGCAGAGAGTGAGAATAAGAGTGAGAGAGAGAGGTCTTCCACCTACTGGTTCATTCTCCAAATGGAGGCAACAGCCAGAGTTGGGCCAATCTGAAGCCAGGAACTTCTTCTGGGTCTTCTACATGGGTGAAGGGGCCCAAGGGCTTGGGCCATCTTCCGCTTCTTTCCCAGGCCATTAGCAATGAGCTGGATCAGAAGTGGAGCAGTCAGGACTCGTACCGGCACCCATATGGGATGCCAGTGCTGCAGGCAGCAGCCTTACCCAATAAGCCACAATGCCAATGCCGGGACCAAGTTCTTGAAACCCAGTCTGAGCATACAGCTCATATGGAGCACTGGCTCAGAGGCAGGACAGAGAAGAGTCCTCCTAACTATAGTGAAGGGTGTTACCAGATCGTAGGATGCATGGGAATCCTTCCTTGTGGCTGTGAGTCCAGGAAGCCTAGCCAAGGACTCAGAGCCAATAGGAAGAATCTATTCAAAACAGTTTGACTACCGCTTGGCCTAATGCCAGGGCAAAGAGCCAGACCTTGCTCAGCAGCAGAGACCCAGAGGAACTCACAGAAATGAGAGCCAGGAGCCTTTTACTAGGGAGAGTAGGGGAAGGTTTACAGCACGGAAGAACGGATCAGAGGGTGCTGATGGGAGACGCTCAGGAGTACGTTGTGGGTGTAAGAGAGGAGAGCTAAAAGCCAAAGAGTACAGCTAATTTTTTAAAAGGGGCTATGGCACAATGGGACTAGAGTTGGTGAGAAAGAGAGAGACAGAGAGAGAGAGAGGGAGAGAGAGAGTTTTGCGCCTATGGTTGCCCAAGAACCCAGGCTGCTGCCTTTTTTTTTTTTTTTTTTTTTTTTTTTTTTTTTGACAGGCAGAGTTTAGACAGTGAGAAGGAGAGACAGAGAGAAAGGTCTTCCTTCCATTGGTTCACCCCCAAAATGGCCTCCACGGCTGGCACGCTGCGCCGATCCGAAGCCAGGAGCCAGACGCCCCCTCCTGGTCTCCCATGTGGGTGCAAGGCCCAAGGACCTGGGCCATCCTCCACTGCACTTCCGGGCCACAGCAGAGAGCTGGACTGGAAGAGGAGCAACCGGGACAGAATCCGGCGCCCTAACTGGGACTAGAACCCGGGGTGCCGGCGCTGCAGGCGGAGGATTAGCCAAGTGAGCTGCAGCGCCGGCCAAGCAATACTTTTTAAAAACATTTTTGGCATGTTTGCAAATTTACATAATAAAATACTGAGAAAAAAGTGGCCAAGAATTACTCCCCTTCCTCTGTGTCCTTGAAATATTATTTTTACACATTCTACCACCAAAAGTTGGACTACTGGGGCTGGTGTTGTAGTGTAGCAGGTAAAGCTACCACCTGTGATGCTGGCGTCCCATATGGATGCCAGTTCCTGTCCTAGTCACTCCACTCCCGATCAATATCCTTGATAATGTGCCTGGGAAAGCACCAGAACATGGTCCAAGTGTTTGGGCCTCTGCAGCCACGTCGGAGACCTGGATGAAGCCCCAGGCTCCTGGCTTTGGCCTGGCTCACTGTGGCCATTTGGGGAGTGATTCAGAGGATGGAAGATCTTTCTCTTTGTGTTTATCCCTCTCTCTGTAACTCTGCATTTCAAATAAATAAATAAATAAATCTAAAAAAAAAAGAAAGTAGGACTCTTCCATGCTTTGAATCTGGGCTGACCACACAATTTGCTTGGCCAATGGGAATTAGCAAATATGATACATGCAGAGCTTTGAAAGGTGCTTGGACACTTTGCTGATCTTGGGAAGTGCAGCTACCATCAAGTAAAGAAATGATCTTTAGCCTGTTGGATGGTGGTGGACACTTGATCTAGTTACTTCCATCATCCCAGCCAGCCAATCACCAGACATGTATGTGGTACTACTGACTGCCAGCTCACCAAAGATGCATGCCTGAGTCTTACTGAGAGCAGAACTTCTCAGCTGAGCCCATCTCACTTCGGTAGTTCACAGAATTATAAGCCCATTTTATTTAATTATAAGCCATTTTACTTTAAACCATTAAATCCTGAGGAAGTTTGCTATACAGGAAAAACTCATATAGTCTACCATGTTTCCTCCTGACTTCATTCAAAGAGGCTTCCCTGCTGAGCATAGCTCTGACCTGCTCTGCAAATATTCAGAGAGGTCAGTGAGGAGGGAGGGTGAAGACATGGGAGGAGGCCAGTGTGACATAGGGAGAGGGTGACATGGGGGTGGAGCCAGTGTGACATGAGGGCAAGGGTCAGTGTGACATGGGGGAGCACTCAGGGTGGCCAATGAGGAGGAACTGTAACTCCCAGGAGGGGGAGTTTATTTTTAAGCTGAGGACAAGCAAATGTCACACTGAGAAGGAGAGATCAACCCTAAATCGTGGGAACAGGTCAGTAAACCTAAGGAACCCAAGAGGTTACGATTACTGGAGAGAGCGGAGTAAGGCAGACAGGAGGGGCCAGTTGAGATTTCTCCCTGCTAATAAAGAGGAGCAAAGCCCTTGGCCAGTAGTCCCTCCCTCTGGGGGCCAGACATTCTGGGGGGCAGAATGCTTTCCAAGGCTACAATGGAAAGGTGGACCTGTAAGGGGATGTGGCCTGGCTGTCTTTCCTCTCTCTGATGCCATTCTCAATGCAGAGCCCCTCACTCCCTTGACCATTCTGTCCCTCTTTGTCATGTCTCCCTTTGCAAAGCCTCCAGGATATCAGACCGATTGATCGTTCTCCTGCACTGATGAACTCCCTCCCCAGGTCTTCTCACTGGAAGACAGGGTAGCAAGGCAGAAATGACCCACGTCTTCCTAGTCTTCACCCTTCTGACAGTGGCTGGTGAGTGTAATTTCCAATTTTCACTTAAACTTTTGGAAATGTTGCAGTTATATTGGAGTGAAGTGGAAGAAATGGGTCTAGACAAGAGAGATGGAAAGATCACTAGTTGAATAGATAAGAATCCAGGGCCATAGGGCCCGGCAGTCTCCTAGAACATCAGAAGCTAAGCAGAACCTGGTGATTTCCCTCCAACTCTGCTACAGGAGAGGATTTAGGCTGGAACAATGTGCAGGGTGTTGGCAAAAGCAAGAGATTTGTTGTGCAGCTAGGAAGGAGACTTGGAGAAAACAAAGAATGGAGAAGAAAGAGGAAGAGTGAGGAAGGAGAAGGGCACAAACACAGAGGGATGTGCAAGGGACAATGAGAGGGAGCCTGACGTGGTCCAATCCTGCCTTATGTATCAATAACACCTTGACCATTTCACGGCACTTTCACCCGGCATGTCACAGACTTCCTGTGTCTGAAACGTCCCCTTTGTCCCCATGACTGCCTTCCTTCCCTCTACCTGGCAGCAGGAGCATCAGCCAAAGGAAACAAAGCCAAGCAAATGAGTCAGATGGAAGCAAAAACCAAGGAGGCAACCTTTTTGATTTTTCTGGACTCTGAGAGTGAGCTATGCCTGGGTACCCTGATCCACGAACAGTGGGTTCTCACCGCGGCTCACTGCTTCTTACCGTGAGTAGGGATGGGATCTTGGGAGGCCAGGGTTTTCCCTTCAGCTGTTGAGATTCCAGAAGTAGGGGGTTGAGGCTGAACCATGACTTGCACAGGGGATTCCAAAGTCTGAGAAAGAGCTGGGAGGAGGCATGAAACAGAGCTATCCAGGAAATTATGACTTAGATTCTGGGGCGGGATGATGTGGACAGTGGCGCTTGGGGGAGCCTGAGTGTTAGGGGATAAACAATCAGGAAAGATAAGTTTGCCAAAAAAAAAAAATGTGCAGTTGGGGCATTACGGAACTACAATGGTTGCTCATTTGCCAGATGAGATGGAGATCCTGGCAATTCGTGGAAGGAACCAGCTCAGTCACAGAGGAAGGGAGAGAACAGGAGCAGGATGAACCAGAGTGATAGCTCCCTCCTTCACTGACCCTTCACCACCTCTCCCAGATTTCTTAAGATCAAGATCGCTACTTCAGGAGATAGACGTTTTCAGAATCTGGACTTGAGACCCCTGCTTGTTGTCCGACACCCGAACTTCACCCAGGATTCTGCAGAGCATGACATCATGCTCGTCAAGCTGGAGAGTCCCCTCCAGCTCGGGGACGAGTTGAAGCTGGCGGCTCTGCCCAATAGCACAGATGACAAACGGGGGACCACCTGCACTGTCGCTGGCTGGGGCTGGACATGGAAGCAATATAGTGAGTGATCCTTAGGAGACAGACCCTTGGTGCCCGCTCCGTGAAGGTGTCATACCACTGTAGAACTTCAGAGCTGGAAGGGGCCTGAAAATCCACTTGTCTTAACTGCTAATTTTATGCATGTGAAAATTGAGCCCCAACGATGTGTGATAGTCCCTGGGTAATGTGGTTATTTGTGGCTGGAGTTCCCAGGAATCCAGTGTCCTTGCCTCATTCATCACCCGGGTGATGGTGACAAGGTCCCTGGATGAGGACGGGATTGGTGGCAGCCCTGCCGGTGATGCTCAGTACGGCAACTCACCAGCAAGCACTCAAGAGGTGAGAACATGCATCAACAAACCTGAGCTCTGTAGTGGACAACATGGGAACCAGCCCTTGTTTTCGCATTTTATAATTTGTTTTCCCCTTTTCTAATTCCTTGTCATTTGGTCTTTTTACTTCATTGAATGATAGTGAAGTTAGCGACAGGAAAGGGGGAGAAGGAGAGAAGAAAGCAGTTGGATATATACAGGATCAAAGAGAAATGATACCTCTCTCTTTTTCTGTGTGTGTGCTCAGATAAAGACCCAGATATCCAGATAAACCAGGATGTGGTTTGGTTCTCCAGTGAAGACTGCCAAGCATTCTCTACAAGAACAATTTCTACTGCAGTCCCAGACACCATGTTCTGTGCTGGATTGTCTCTGGGCAGCACATTCCTGTGTTGGGTAACTCTTTCCCCTCTGCCTTTCCTAAACTTGGTGTGGGATGCTGTTCTGGGATCCACATATCTCCTTCAAGGCAACCCAATGTTCCGTCTTTACAGCAGGATAGATGTGGTCCTGGAAAGATTAAGTGTCCTTCCCCGAGTCTGAAACAAATTCAGATATCAGGATGGAGCAGTCTCCACCTGTTGGCATCTCTCCAGGGCTCCCTACAGGGTAGCCAAGCATGAGTGCATGAGATGGGCCTGCCAGGCCCGTCACTCCCAGGCCTCATCACCTGAATATCTCTGTTCTGGACCCCTCTGGGAGGGACTTGGCACCAGATCATCTCTGTTTTGGCCAACCTGCCTGACCCATCTCTCCACTTCCTAACAGGAAGTCACTGCTGCCCCAATCCTGTGCCAACATCAGCTCCAGGGGATCCTGTCCTGGTCAGAAGGGTGTGTTCTGAGAGGCAGCATTGGATACTACACCAAGATTTCCCAATATACAGACTGGATCCTCAAAGTCATCCACACCAAATGACTTCCTTCTCTTCCTTCTCCTGGCAGCCTCAGAACTTGTCCTACCACTCTCAGCCCTTCAGTTCCTTCTGGCCTTAGAACAAGATGGGAATAAAGACTTTGGCTGTAAGGAGTTTTCAGTTCTTCCTGGCCTTTTGATTTTCCTTACCACTTTCAGTCTCCAGCCTGAAACGGTCTTCAAAGAATCTTCTCTGGATAATATTCTCATGAACAGGATAACTCCTCACCACCTCTTGCTTCTCCTCCTCCAGTTTTCCTTCTGCCCTGGTTTCCTCTGATTTTCTGGATCCATTCTCCCATCATGAACCTCCAGAGGAGGTTAGTTTAATTATTAAATTAAAATTAAGTTAAAAAGATCTAAAATATGTCTTATATTTTATTATAACATTTTGAAATAGTTTAAGATTTACAAGAGCTACAAAAATAATTTCTGTGAACCTGATATTGCCCAGTAATACAACCCTAGCCTCTGGCAACCACTCATCTGCTCTCATCACAGTAATTTTCTCACTTTGAACATGGTATGTAAATTGAATCATTCAGTATGTAACCCAATATTAAGGTTTTTTTTCCAAAGAAATCTTTTATTTAATGAGTACAAATCCAATAAGTATAACTTTAGGAATATAGTGATTCTTCCTACCATACCCACCCGCCCACCCACCTCCTCCTCCCTCTCCCATTCCCAGGACCCATTCTCCATTAAGATTCATTTTCAATTAACTTTATACACAGAAGACAAACTCTAAACTAAGTAAAAATTTCAACAATTTGCACAAACACCTACAAATTGTTTGAAAACAAGTTTTACAGTTAATTCGCATAATACAATGCATTGAGGACAGAAGTCCTGCATGGGAAATAAGTGCACAGTGACTCCTGTTGCTAATTGAACAATTAACACTCCTATGCATGACTTCAGTGACCACCCAAAGCTCTTGACATGAGTTGCCATGGCTATGGAAGCCTTTTGAATCCACATCTCTGTCAGTATTTAGACAAGGCTGTAAGTAAAGTGGACGTTCTCTCCTCCTTTCGGATAAAAGCACATCCTTCTTTGATGGCCATTTCTTTCCCCTGGGGTCTTTCTCACAGAGATCCTTTACATAGGATTTTTTTTTTTTTTGCCATGGTGTCATGGCTTTCCATGCCTGAAATGCTCTCATGGGCTTTTTGGCCAGACCAGAATGCCTTAAGGTCTGATTCTGAGGTCAGAGTGCTGTTTAAAGTGATTGTCATTCTGAGCCTGCTGTGAGGACTGCTTCCCATGTTGGAACATTCTCTCCTTTTTAATTTTATCTATTATTACTTCCATATATTTGATCTTATTTATATGATCCCTTTAACACAACACTTAATTCTATCTCTATGATCACTTTAACACTTAAGATAGCATTTTTACCACCCAGCTTAATGGGATTTGGGGTCCCATGGCAAGTTTTTAAAGTGTACTATTGGAAGTAAGTCCATAGGAATATATTCATAACTATACAGCTTTACAGTAATAAACTTCATCCTCCCTCTCTTATTCCCACTCTTATATTTTGCTGAGATCTATTTTCAATTGACTTTGTACACATATATTAACTCTATGCTAAGTAAAGAATTCAACAAATAGTATGAAGAAGAGAAAAAAAAGCTGTTCTTCAACAGTCAAGACAAGGGTTGTTCAAGTCATTGATTCTCAAAGTGTCAATTTCACTTCTACAGACTTCTTTTTAGGTGCTGTATTAGTTATCACAGATCAGGAAGAATATATGGTATTTGTCCCTTTGGGACTGGCTTATTTCACTAAATCTGATGTTTTCCAGATTCCTCCATTTTGTTGTAAATGACCAGATTTCATTTTTTACTGCTATATAGTATTCCATAGTGTACATATCTCATAATTTCTTTATCCAGTCTTCAGTTGATGGGTATGTAGGTTGATTCCATGTCTTAGCTATTATGAATTGAGCTGAAATAAAAATGGATGTGCAGATAAGTCTTTTATTTGCTAATTCCATATCCCTTGGGTAAATTCCCAGAAGTGGAATGGCTGGGTCATATGGTAGGCATATATTCAGATTTCTGAGGTATCTCCATACTGTCTTCCATAGCAACTTTACCAGTTTACATTACCACTAACAGTGGATTAGTGTGCCTTTTTCCCCACATCTTCACCAGCATTGTTGTTTGTTGATTTCTGTATGAAAATCCATTTTGACTGGAGTGAAGTGAAACCTCATTGTGGTTTTGATTTGCATTTCCCTGATGGGTAGTGATCCTGAATATTTTTTCACGCATCTGTTGGCCATTGGATTTCCTCTTTTGAAAAATGTCTGTTTAAGTCCTTGGCCCATTTCTTAACTGGGTTGTTTGTTTTATTGTTGTGGAGTTTCTTGATCTCTATATATTCTGGTTATTCATCCTTTATCAGTTGCATAGTTTGCAAATAATTTCTCCCGTTCTGTAGGTTGTCTCTTCACTTTCTTGAGTGTTACTTTTTCAGTACAGAAGCTTCTCAATTTGATGTAATACCATTTGTTAATTTTGACTTTGATTGCCCATGCTTCTGGGGTCTAATATTAGGAAGGCTACACCAGCTCTTTTTTGGTTTCTATTAACATGGAGTATCTTTTCCCATCCTTTCACTTTCAGTTTGCAGGCATCTTTGCTAGTGAGATGTGCTTCTTGTAGGCAGCAAATAGATGGGTTTTGTTTTTTAATACATTCAGCCAGTCTGGGCCTTTTAACTGAAGAGTTGAGACCATTTACATTCAAGGTGACTATTGATAAGTAACAGCTTTGCTCTGTCATTTTCCATAAATATTCCTATCGTTTACTTTGGATTTCCTTTGTACTTTTATTGGGAGATTTTCTTTCTTTACCTTCTTTCGTAGTGATGACCATGTTTCTGCATGCAGTACATCTTTAAGCATCTTCTGTAGGGCTGGGGAGGTGGTGACAAATTCTTTCAATTTCTGTTTGTCATGGAAGGTCTTTATTTCACCTTCAGTCATAAATGAGAGCTTTGCAGGATATAGTATTCTGGGTTGACAGTTCTTTTCTCTTAAGACTTGGAATATATCTTCCCATTTTCTCCTAGCCTGTAGAGTTTCTGATGAGAAGTCCGCTTTGAGTCTAATTGCAGATCCTCTGAAAGTAATCTGGTGTTTCTCTCGTGTATATTTTAGAATATTTTCTTTATGTTTTACTGTGGAGAGTTTGATTACAATGTGTCATGGTGAATATCTTTTGTGGTCATTTCCATTTGGAGTTTTATGTGCTTCCTGTACTTGAATGTCCCTTTCTTTCTCCAAATTAGAGAAATTTTCTGTTATTATTTTACTAAAAAGGCCTTCTAATCCTTTCTCTCTTTCCATATCTTCAGGCACTCCTAGAACCCGTATGTTGGGTCATTTGATAGTATCCTGTTGGTTAACAACAGTGGTTTTTTAGCTTTCTAAATTCCTCTTCTTGTTTTTGGTTTGACTGTATAATTTTCTGTGTTTTGTATTCTAAGTCAGATATTCTTTCTTCTATTTCACTGATTCTGTTGTTAAGGCTTTCCACTGCATTTCTTATTTGTTCTATTGAATTCTTCATTTCCAATATTTCATTTTGATTTATCTTTAAGATCTCAATTTTGTGGGGGAAATTTTCTTTCGTGTCATGTATGAATTTCATTAGTTTGTGCATTTGCTTCAGATTACTTCTAAGTAATCTTGTGATTAATTTTTTGAATTCCATTTCTGGTATTTTCCATCTCATCATCTTCACAATCTAGTATTGAAGATTTTGTTCTTTGAGGGTGTCATGTTGTCTTCCTTATTCTTGCTTCTTGAATTTGTGTGTTTGTTATTTGGCATTTGTAGAGATACTCATTAGTTTCTTCTTTGTTCTTTCACTGTGGCAGCTTTTATCTTTGGACTATATCAGTGTGGATTAGTGTAGTGTCTGCTTTCAAGGGAATACCTAGAAGTGTGTGGTGGATGTGGTCAGGGAGTACTGTCAGTGCTCCAGGGTGAAGGGCATGTCTGAGGTGAACACCCAGTTTTGGCATGGTAAATCTCCCTCTCTCTAATCAGAGGGGAGTTTTGCTCTTTTCTGTTGGTGTAGACTTAGCTCCTCTTCTCAAAGGAGACCTGGGCGCTAGCCCCAGTCAGTAAATTATATGTCTACTCTGCCACCAGGACCACACAAAGGATCTGTGCAGTCTTCAGTGTAATCTCAGATTCCCCAGCAATGTCCCTCACCAGGCAAACAGAGAGTCCTGGTTGTCTGGAGCTTTCCATGGTAACTGCCAAAGTCTCAGCCACAGCCTGAGTCCTCCCACACAGCCTCAATGTTTTCACAGTCCCAGCACACAAGCCTCTCACAGTCATGAACACCCAGACGCCAGTCTATTCTCCCCATCAGATTCAGGAATCTCCTCTTGGCTGGTTCCTGGGAGCAGACACAAGCTGGCACAGCTGTTGTGTATGTCCAAAATGGCACCTGCTTTTTATCAGCTTGTTACAAGACACAGTTGCAGGGTTATTGGGGAGAAAGAAAACGTGACCTCCTCCATTTTTTTTTCTCCTCTAGGTGAGCAGGTGCACTATCCCCCACAGGGCTCTAAGCTGGATTCCCTCATGGCTCTTCCTACAGCTTTTTGCCATTGGCTTGGGCTGATGCAGTCTGGCCTCACCTCACTCTCCAGTGTTGGTGCAGAGGCTCTTGGCTGCTGGAGTTCTGAGTTGTACATTTCCTTGCCCTCCACATAGGTCCATTGTGTCCCTCCAATTTGCGTAGATTTTCCTCTGTTGTTTTCTCCTTAACTCTTCTCTAAGACTGTGCTCTTTCCACTTTTTTTTTAAACAATCTTCTCCTAGACTAGAGCAATAAACTCCCTCCCTACTCTGCCATCTTAATCCCCCTTAACTCTTCATATTGCTCTTTTTTTGGAAACAATAACTCTCAAGATTCCATATTTTCTTTTATTATTATTTCCTTTCTGTCTGAAGAACTTCTGTTATATTGCAATTGTTTAATAATAGGTCTTCTGGAAATAAATTATCTTAGCTTTCCTTCATCTTTAGTCCTAACAGATTTTTTAAAATTCTATTTATTTATTTATCTATTTTTTACTGG